CTGCACTCAACGTGATGGGATTGTAGATCTGGGCCAAAACCTTTGGTTTGGAGGTGTCATTTTTGTGTGAAGACGTCAGATAAGGTCACAGCCTTTGTGAGTGAAATGAGTTCTGTGCCATATCTTGAGGGGAAGAGTCTTCAGTTTGCAACCAGGCAGCAACAGATTCTTTGATTTTGATATAGAACTTTTCCTTCTGTCTATCAGTGACTGCTGGATGTGGGGTGCTAGAAATCTTTTAAAGCTCTTAGTAAAAATCTATCAAGAAAGAAACACGTAGTCAGGATGGCATGTGTTGACATTAGTTTTAATGGAAAGAAAAATGTAAGTCAATGTTTCTATCCTCCAGAGTTGTATTTACACCACTAAGTTAGCATTTCTTGGAATAATAAAAAAAAAAAAAAAAACTGAACCACATGGGGAGTGCTCTTGTGGACAAACTCATTAAGAAGTTACTGCAGAGTAATTTCAAGTCAGTTATTATAAAACTTCAGTCATTTAAAGTCTTTTAAAGCACCACAATGAAATAATTCAATCTGTGCTTCAAAAGCATCAGTACAAACATCTACAGGAGCTGCATTGGGGCACTGATTTTCCCCAGTTTCTCAGGTGTATTTTTGGCCAAATATTCCTTATTGCGGTCTGGAGAACATGTGTGTGGGTACACGTGGCTCTGATTGATAAGCAGACAGGGACAGTAATTGCCTGATTCAGTCTTATAAATTCAGGATCATTTAAAACACAACCCTAATTGTTGGATAATATACTTCCCTATCAATTGATGTTACTAGTATTGTTTATTTACAGTTTACTTAAAAGCAGTAATGATTCAAAAAATGATCATTCAATTAAACATCTCAAAAACCTTGAAATGTTACTCAGTGATACAGGATGTGGTCAATCCCCAGAACTAAAACCAGTCAAAAAAGTCACTTGATGCTTAAGTCATACTGAAAATATATATAATTGTAAATTTTTTGTCATATGGATGATTAAATTTAAGACCTCATGCATACTAGCTTACTGAGCTATTTCTCAAGCCCCCACATTTTAATAATTATTTTGAAATTTGGCATAGTTTCTTGTTAATTTCCAAGATTGGCAGTAAATTTTGTAATCCTCCTGTCAAAGTCTCCTGAGAGGCTGCCATAACAGGCAGACAACAACACAGTAGCAAATGTATTTTTCATTTCATGTAAGTCCTACAAAAACAATTATTTACACTTTCCTAGATTCCCCATAGATATGGTTAATTTGGGTCAAGATCCAAATCCATTTGGCAGCAATTCCTAGATTCTTTTTATTATGTAACTACCCTGTGTGCATTAATAATGATGAATTGTTTAAGAAAAATTTTGGAGAAAAAACATGGACCAATCAAAGAATGTTTTGTTCTCTATATGTGGCTCACTGTTTCATTTAGAGTCATTTAACTTATTTCCACGGCAATACTTTCAAAAGACTTTTGGATAAAGGATCTGTATTAGCTCATTCTTTTCTTCCCAGTGGGAATGTTACAGAGATGCTTGTGGGTACTGCCAGTTGCAGCCCATGTGTATACTGACCATCAGCTTTCAGTGAGCTCCAGCATAGTGAGTAGGTGCAGCAATGCCAGTTCCATCAAATTTATGTTGAAATCACTCACACATGAATTTCTTAATGATCTTAATGCCTTTTAAAAGAATTTCTATAATTCTGTTGTTTTAGTTGAGAGTTCTAAAAACCCTGATTTTCTAATTATATAGTGTTTTCCACTTTGATTTCTTCCAAAATTCCTGTCATTAACTTTTAGGTGATCTGAAGATACAATTTTTAGGACAAAGATACAAAACATATTTGTTTCTTTTGCTTACCAATTTTCAGAATAATGAGTTTCTTTTTTTTTATTTAAGAGGAAAAAGAGAAAAACACAAAACAAAACAAAGCAGTGTAAGGTTACACATAATACAGAACTACAAAAAAAATAACAGTAAGAAATCACCTGTTAATAGATTACATATTATCATCTTGGAAATAGTTGCTCAAATCACAGTATCAAAGAATACAAAGTAGACATTCAAACAGAGAGACTGCAAACAGCTGTGTTCAATGATCCAAAAACATTAATATAGTCAGCTATTTAACATCCCTAAACACACTTGCTGTTATATCCGTTAGAGCTCTTTTTTTTTTCCCTCCCTCTCTTTTTTACAACAAAATTTACACATTTTGGATTTTATTACTCCTTAGTTCTTATTACTTTTTTGGGGGGGAGAGAATAAAGTCAAATATGGCAAAACAAAGCTGTAAGTCAAAACCAAGGATAGACATAGCACATGATGTAGAACAGAGTACAAGGTTATTAACAATGGTTATCAACATTGTCTCTTGTTTCCTTAAAAGGAATTGTCTATCTCATTAGATATTATAAAGTTGGACAAAACAGTGGAGAACAAGACCAATAAAACTTAGGCATTGTGAACATTACAGGACTTCCAAAGGAGACAATAGTCAAATCAGAATGGGCATCTTTGTGAATCTTATTGCCTTCAAATTAGTTGCCTATACCCTCAGACTTGCTACTATCGCACAGAATGGAACAGAGTCTAATCAGTCAAAACAAGATCTTGGGAGTATTACAGGACTTCAAAACAAGTTAATAGGAGATCAAAAAGAGTTACTACTATATATAGTCTTACTACTATATATCCTAATTTTTAAAATTTTTCCCTTAATTAAAATAAACATAAGAAATAGCTAAATAATTTTTTAAAGAATAGTAGTTACCATAGTGTCTGTCTTTTTCCTTAAAATATTTGGATAAAACTTCATCAAAGCTTAATTTATGCTTTTTTTGGCATCCAGCCTTAAGCATATTTAGTAGTTTTAAATCAATTATACTCAGCATGTCTTTTGCATTTGTTTTCTAACTCTAAACCAGTGGCAAACATTTCACGTTACCTCCAATATCACTTCAAGGAGATTTGCAGAGCTGTGACACCTGCTCTAGCTTTATGGAAAATTCAAACTTCCAGTATTCTTACCAACTTTCTGATCTGCTCTTCAAGTCTGACATTTATCCAAGAAGCTCTAGTTCTGGAAAGAAAAACTTTCCATTTAGAGGAAATTTGAGGAAAAACTATATATATATATATATATATATATATATATATAGAGAGAGAGAGAGAGAGAGAGAGAGAGACTTTGGTCCATGAATAATTATTCATTTATGGATATTTATTTTTCTAGTTTTATTCCGTATTTTTCTATTGACTTTCATGATTTTAATTCTCCCTCTATTTTACACATTTTATCAAAAAATCTTGTCTTTGTTAATTTGGAAATATTTTGTGGGAGTATATTGTAACAGTTTGCCTAAAATATTTCTTTTTTATGCAGGATAAATCTGTAGAACTGTGAATGATTTAGGGGTGGTCAAATCCATATGTAATATCATTAATACTTTAGATGTCCTCACATAAGTTGGGTAACTTGACACCATTATGCTAAAAACTGTGTTCTTCTTTCAGCTTTGTTTATAAAAGGCAATCTTTAAACATGATATTTACTGATGTGTGAGAATTGATAGAGGCATTTTTCATTTTAGGATTTATTATGAATCAAGTTGAAGGATTTTCATGTTTAATGTCCAATCATATATTACATTCAGATTAGTTAATTAAACTTTCCACCTCTTTCCACCACAGTGATACTTTTCCTTTATAGTGCTTATGTATGTAGTAATTCTTTAGAGTTTTCATTTGCCATTTTAATTTATTGTCTACTTTATTAATAAAGAACATTTTACATACGTGAAAGGTACATTTTAAACTTTGTTTTACAACTGTACTTTGAAGTGTAAAATAAGAAAGAAGCATAATGGTATCTCATATAGCTATCTATCACAATATAACAATGTTTTACTCATAGAAACTTATAATTTATTTAAAATTCTTCAGGGTTAGCCTTCGTATCTAAATTTGCTTTGATTTTAGTGTGTTCAATTTCAGATATTTGTGTTTCGTTATTCACAAAAATGATATATGATTCCTCAATATTCTCAGATGACACTTTATTATATACATTTTGTGTAATTTAAATCAGGTGATGCCTACAGAAATATACTGACCTGATAATTCTGGAAATGCAAACTTTCAAATAATAATATGCAAGTTCTATGTGGAAATATTGAAATGATCTTAATCATAGGCCCTCCTGAAAGAGAAAAATCATTTCCGTGATTTCCTTCATACTAAAAGTGTCAGAAGTATTATAGCAAATGGGCCAAAAGTCAGATGTGCACATGCCTGTGTAAACCCAGTATTTGGGAGCCTGAGGAAGGAGGATCACAAATGTAAGTCCATTGTGAACAAGATATTATATTAAAATTCAGTCACATAGAAAATGTGTCTCAAAATTTAAAAAAAAATTAAATAGACATTAGGTGATGAAAGTCTTCTTTTAGTGTGTGCTGCTTATTTTTCTACTAGTTCCTTGTGGTCTGTAGCATCATTCACACCTAGAAGGAATCATCCTTATGCTGCACATTTCTGCACATGCAAAAACTGTTTCATTTGCCACAATTTCCGTTCACTCAGGTCACAAAACCCCTAAGATGGGGTATCTGATTATAGGGACTTCTTTATTGCACAGCATAACAACTTCTGTCTCCTAGAATGCCACAATATTACAGTGGCACTGCACGAAAAGCTTGCAAAACCAGACACTTACTGTTACTCACATTAACAAATCAGGAAAGTATTTTTTGTTATGGTTACCATCATTCTTTCAATACCTGAATATCCTGAAAACTATCACGCTTTCTACTTCTCTTTGTGTGTATGTGTGTGTACTTCAAAGAAACAGAATGAAACAAAACATTTTAAAAAATCATCCTAGAATTTAATTGCTTTGGTTTGATAATATGATTTGAATTTGTCAATTCAACATATTCATCTACTATTAATTTTAAAAACCTCTATTATAGCATTTAAAAACCTTAAACCTCTCCCCAGTAATTACTAAGGCTGAAAACATCTCCTGGGATTGATTCGATGGAAAGGGACTTTCATCTCTACTACTTTCCAGAAGGCATCCTTTACATCCTTGTTCCTCAGACTGTAGATCAGAGGATTTAGCATGGGATTGACAACTGTGTAAAACACAGAGGCCACTTTGACTGTCTGTCTTGAGTTCTTGGAGTTGGGCACACAATAGAGGGACAGGATGGTCCCATGAAAGATGGTGATGGCTGTCAGGTGAGAGGTACAGGTGGAAAAGGGTTTTTGACGCCCACTGGCAGTTGGGAGATTTATGACTGTCACAAAAATAAATATGTAGGAGGTGAGGATGATCAAAAGTGTACTCACCTCATTGAAGGTGGCAAAGCCAAAAAGCATCAGTTGAGGGATGTGCACGTCAGAGACAGAGACTGCAATAAGGGATGTATATTCACAGAAAAAGTGGTTGATGACATTAAATCCAGTAAAGCTTAGCTGAAGAGCATAGCAGAAGAGCACAAATGGGCAAAACAGAGCCCAGAAGTAGGATCCAACCACGAGCAGAGCACAGAGTCTCTGGGACATAGCACCCGTGTACAGCAGGGGGTTCCTGATGGCCACAAAGCGGTCATAGGCCATCACTGCCAGCAAGAAGGACTCAGCCACCACAGCAAAGCAAGACAGGTAGAACTGCCACATGCAGCTCCAGTAGAAGATGGTTTTGTCTTCCATGACCAGGTTCTCAAGCAATTTGGGAGTAACAATGGCAGAGTAGCAGAAGTCCACAAATGACAGGCGACTAAGGAAAAAGTACATGGGGATGTGAAGTTTGGGGTTAACCCAGATGATTATTATCATCCCAAGGTTTCCTACCACCATGACAATGTACATGATCAGGAATACAAGGAAGAGAGGGATCTGAAGTTCTGGGGAATCAGTGAAACCTAAGAGGGCAAAGGTTGTCTCCACACTCAGATTTCTTACAGCCATCACCAAGCTTTCTTGCACTGCATGTGTTCTTGAGGAGACTTGTTCCTGTAAAACACAAGGTTTGTGGAAGTAAATGACTGTTCCATCATGAAATTCTGTAAGCATCCCAGTCACAGAACAGACAAAAAATGTGGTTTTTTTCTTGTTTTTTGTTTTTTTTTTTTTTTTTTTTTTTTTTTTTTTTTTTACATAAATACATCAAAGAGTGAAGATGCTGGAAAAAATGTGAAATATTTGCTCCAAAGAACAATGAATGTGCATTTCACTTATTTAAACAAATCAATACAATTCATTAAGAAAATGTGTTTCTTGCCTAAGAATTCTGTAAAATATTAAATATATTTAATACTTTACCATATGTATTTCAGAAACTCTTTTCCATAAATGCTACTTCCTGTGTTGAATATCTTACTAAATGTCACCAGAAATACTGAGCAAGTTTTCCCAGAAGACTATTTCTCCATCATGCATATACACAGAATATTGCATATTTATCCCCACTTTTCTTTTTGAAGTCTTTTTCAGTGGATCTGAGACAAAGTATTTCCACAAGCTATAAGCTCTTCCTTGAATACTATAAGGCTCAAACAGAATAATGTTTACAGAAATTGAGCTAAATATGAAAATAAAATTTTTCCTGGTTATACTATTAGGAAAATAACATTTTCGTTATTTCACAGGAAGCTTGAATGAAGCTATGTACTACAGGGAAACAGGGTACCCTTTCCTGTTTCTCTGTATGCCACATATAACTGGAGCACCGAGGTTATTACATCTAAGTTTATTTCCTCAAGGACTCTAGCTCTAGAGAATCACCTCCAGATTATGCCTTGCAAGCATCATAAGGCAATTAAATCAAATGTGGCTCTCTTACGTCACCTTTAATGAGTAGAATTTGCTCCAAATTTCACAGGAAATTATATAACGAAATCAACTTCGGGCTTTGTTTGTACATGATTAAAATTCCCTTTGTAATTAAAACCCAAAATTTAAATATAGCTTCCAAAATTGAGTAATCCTGGGGATTTTGAATGCAGAAGTTGGCATTGATAGGCAGTCTACTTCAGTCTTTCTGCAAAAATTAACCAGAAACATGCCCATTTTGGGCAAACCTCTAATCAAAAAGGAAATTTATCCCTAGTCCAGTTTGTAGTAGAAGCATCTGTTGGGCCATAAAACTAAAAATATGTCATAGTTTTTGAGGGTTATTTGATTGACAGGATTTGTTCAGAATTTTGGTTAGCACACCTAATCAATTACTGATCAGCACTTCTGTATTTTAAAGTTATACAATAAATCCAACTGAACTATTTGGCTTTTTAGAAAGAGATTCTGGTACTTTAACAGACACGACCAATGACTGAGTGGCTGTCCCATTGCATTTATTTACTATGCAGCCTCCACTTTCTGTCTTGAATGGGTATCATCTCTCTGCCAGTCTGTGAAACTAGCCTGCAAAACAATCAGCTGCATTCCTGTTCATGAAGACAAAAGTCAGCCACATGAGGATGTAGCAAACTGTCTATGGCTAAGACTTTTGCTTCCTTTTGTCTTCTCCAACGCTGAACTCATGGCCTCATGGAGCATGCTCTGCCACAACTTGAATATGGAAGGAAGAACTGGGGCATTCTTACCGATCGCTTCCCGTGATGTGCCGGGATACATAATGGCACAGTTACCAAACTTCAGTGCTTCCAGAGTGACTCTGAGAAAGAGAGAAAGAGAGAGAGAGAGAGAGAGAGAGAGAGAGAGAGAGAGAGAGAGAGAAGAGAGAGAGAGAGAGAGAGAGAGAGACCTACAGGCGAATTTATCTAGTAAACATACATGCAAAAATTCTCAATAATATATTGGCAAACAAAATGCAGCAAATCATCTAAAAGATTATAAACCATAATAAAGGGAGTTCATCTCAAAGTGTAGGTATGGTTCAACATATGCAAATAAAGGTAGTCCACCATACCAATAGAGTCAAAAATAACAATCACATGATCATTTCTATAGTTGCAGAAAAAGATTTTGTTATGTTCCAACACTCATACATGGTAAGACTCTTACAGCAAATTGGAATAGATGGTCTTTATATGGTCTCAATATGATAAAAGACATCCATGACAATCCAAGAACCAGAAACATATTAAACAACCAAAAAGTTAAAGCCTTTACACTAAAATCATGAACAAGACAAGGATGTCCATTATTAGCACTCCAATTCAGTGTAGTAATGGAAACACTAGCAAGAGTGACTAGACAAAAGAGAAAATAAAAGGAGTAGTGAAAGGAAAAAAAAGAAGTTAAATTATCATTATTGCAGGCAACATGGTACTCTACATAGAAGACCTCAAAACCTCCATTGAAAGGCTCCTATGTATAATAAATAAATTCAGCAATGTAGCTGGATACAAAGTAAGCATTCAAACATTAACCAGCATTAGTATACACTAAGAAAAAATCACTGAGCGAGAAATAAGAGAAAGTGACAGCCTTCACCATACCATCAAAAAAAAAATGAAATACTTAGGAATCAATCTGACAAAACAAGTAAAGAAACTATTCCAGGAAAATTATAATAACTGGAAGAAAAGAAATTAAAGAGGATCACAGAAAATTGAAAGACATTCCCTGTTCAATGATAGGAAGAACAAATATTGTGAAAATATACCCCTCTCAAAAAATTTTTATACAGATTTAATGCAATCCCCATAAAAATATCACTATCATACCACACAAACCTAAAGAAATCATTCTTAAAAACTGGGATTCGGAGTACCATTTGACCCAGCTATTGCACTTCTGGTCATATTCCCAGAAGAATTGAAAGCATCATATCCCAGTGGTATATGTGCACCCATGTTCATATCAGCACAATTTGTAATAGCCAAATCTTGGAAACAACCTAAATGCCAATCAACTGAGTAATGGATAAAAAAAAAGATGTGGTATTTTTATACAATGGAGTAATACTCAGCTATAAAAATGATCACATTGAGATATTTATATGTAAGTGGATGCAAATTGAGACCATACTCATAAGTGAAATAAATCAAATTCACATTAGTAAATACAGTATTGTCTCTATAGGATAAGAAAAGGTAACAGTACATAAATACAAAATTCTCAATAATTGCAGTGTAAGGGTAAAAATATGCTCAAAGGGGAAAAACAATATCTCAGGGAATAGGAGGAACAAGTAAAAGGACAAAGAAAATACATCGATATTTGTATCAACACACTTATTAAGATAGCTGCGGTGACTGTGCTACAAATTCTATGAGTTCATAGAACAAATCAGTTAATATTCATAGGATTCGAACAATTTTGTATGCCTCTGTCAGGTGACCTGAGGAACTCTTGCAGATCACTGTAAAATATCAACCTTACTTCGGGTGCTACCACCATGTTTTGAAGGCTTATATCGTCATTGTTTGGGCACTTTGCTATTGTTATTTATTTGTCTTTGTTATTTCTTATATTCCTACTAATCTGTTTGGTTTGGTTTTTTGTTTGTTTGTTTTGTTTTTTGTTTGTTTTTTTTTCCTTTAATGCATAAAGGAAATAGGCATTATTGTATCCATTGCTGATTCTGTATCATCATGCTGTGAAATCCAGTAGTGCTTCTATTCATTGTTCAGTGTGTTGTCAATCTGTTTTGTATTGTTTAACTTCAACATACATAAAGGTACGGAAAGCTATTTTTTTTTTTTTTTTCATTTTTATCGGCACTGGGGATCGAACTCACGACCGCCTGCTTGCAAGGCAGGTGCTTATGCCGCTGAGCTAAATCCCCAGCCCCTGGAAAGCTATTTTGAAGAGAATAAGAGACATTATGTCAGCCATGGTTAATTTTTTTCTATTTCTTGGTTTTGGATGCTGGTAATGCATTTATTACTCTGTTCTAATCAGTTTTATACTATTTTGTTTTGTATGAATTCATTATCTGTGAAGATATAGACAGCCATTTAGAAGAAAACAAGAGACATTATGGTGGTCACTGTTGACCTTCTATTGTCTTGCTTTGAAATCTGTGCCATTTACATTGGTTTTTTTTTTTTTTTCTGATTTGTTTTATGTTTTGTTTCATCCTTTTTTTTTTTTTTTAAATACAAAAGCACAATCCACTCTTTTTATTGGGCCAGAAGAGATTAGTAGTGTAATTATGCATTTTTTCTTTCTTTTCTTCTTTCCCCATCCCAATTTTTCCTTCTTATTTTAGTCATTTCTTTTCCTTTCACTTTTATTGGTCCTGGGAATCAAAAACAGGACTACACTTGCCAGGCAAGCACTTACTTTTATAATTTCTAGTGCACATTTTGGATATCTTTTATTCTATGTTTTAATTCTTGATTTTCTTTCACCAGTGCTTTAAAATTTTGACTGTGGAGCTCTTACACCTCTTTGATCTATTTCTATTTTTTTGGTAGATCTTTTAAATGTAATGCTGTTTTGAATTCCACTGCAGATAATTCATTACTGGTATTTAGAAATACTACAAATTTTCTCCATTAGATTTGTATGCCACAGCTTTACTGAATTTCTTAGTTTTAACTTCTGATGACTGCTCTATATATTATCACATCAACTGAAAACAACAATAATTCAATTTCTTCACTTTTTGTATGTTATTAAGAAATCTGCCTTATTTCTGTGGTTAAATGTTCCATTGCTATGTTGAAAACAAAGTGCTGTAATATGGCATCCTTATTAATTCCAAGTCTTAGGAAAAAAAGCATTGCCCATAGCAATGTATGTGTTTCACATCCACTTTATGGAATGGATCACTTCGTTTTGTGGTATGTGCTGAAACACTCTTGCATTTTTGGGATGAATCTCACTTTATCACACTGAATAATCCTTTCAACGTGCTGTCTTCTTCTGTTAGTGTTGATTGTCCAGGGAGGAATTGTAGTTAAATGCTCCAACTCAGCTTCATAAAAATGTATCTATGTATTACATGTGTGCATAGTTTAATAAATATGCTTTTAGAACAAAAATATTTAAGAGGTTTAGTGACTGAATTGTCCTAATCTTATTGCAGTCTACTATGATGTTTCTTTCTTGTCTCCTATCATAATTCTTACAAATAATTTCACTTTTGTACCATAAACAAG